TAAAAAGCAGGAGTTGCAAATCTCGTATCAGATAAAATAGACTTTTTTTTTTTTTTTTTTTTTTTGAGACGGAGTTTTGCTCTTGTTACCCAGGCTGGAGTGCAATGGCGCGATCTCGGCTCACCGCAACCTCCGCCTCCTGGGTTCGGGCAATTCTCCTGCCTCAGCCTCCCGAGTAGGTGGGATTACAGGCACGCGCCACCATACTCAGCTAATTTTTTTTTTTTTGTATTTTTAGTAGAGACGGGGTTTCACCATGTTGACCAGGATGGTCTTGATCTCCTGACCTCGTGATCCACCCGCCTCGGCCTCCCAAAGTGCTGGGATTACAGGCTTGAGCCACCGCGCCCAGCCGATAAAATAGATTTTAAAGCAACAAAGATACAGTGGTAAAAGGATCAATGCAACAACAAGAGCTAACGATCCTAACACCCAGATACATAAAGACTTAGACTCAATGAGACAGAAAATTAATAAGGATATCAAGGACTCGAACTCAGATCCGGAACAAGTAAACTTAATAAATATTTATAGAGCTCCCCACTTCAAATACACAAAATATACATTCTTGTCAATACCACATCACACCTACTCATAAGTTTAAATGAAACATTGATTGGCCATTATTAATACCCAATTTTTTTCAGAATAAAGCAATATTTCCATTTACTCTCCCTCTTTCTCTTCCTCTTTCTTCCTCTCCTTTACTTATTATATATATATATATATATATATTTTTTTTTTTTCTTTCCTTCTCTCAAAAAAAGAAATCAACTTGTAAACCTCTAGATCCAGGTCGGCAATGTCTCTCTCATTGCTTGATTTCCTTCCTTCCCTTCCCTCCCTCCCTCCCCGCTTCTTCCCTCCTTCCTTCCTTCATCCCTTCCTTCCTCCCTACTGTCCTCCTTCCCTCCCTTCCTGCCTTCCTCCCAAAATAAAAAAAAAAAAATTCAATTCTGAAATTTTAAATTAGTTTTAAAATCAGATTTAAATCTCAACTGAAATTTCCATAATCTGAAGAACTGTAAATATGTGGGAAGTTTGTAAACCAGGAGTGGATCACTGGGATGTCATCTTTCTCCATACATGCATGGAGTTATGTAATCCACAAGAGCACTGAACTCCTGTTTTAAACTAAAAACTAAAGGTCTTAGTTTATTTTAAATTTTCAGTTAGTATTATCCTTTTTTTCAGAAATAAAACCACCAGCTGGGTACAGTGGCTCACACCTGTAATTCCAGCACTTTGGGAGGCCGAGGCAGGTGGATTGCCTAAGGTCAGGAGTTCAAGACCAGCCTGGCCAACATAGTAAAACCCCATTTCTACCAAAAATACAAAAAATTAGTTGGGTGTGGTGGCAGGTGCCTGTAATCCCAGCTACTTGGGAGACTGAGGCAGGAGGATCGCTTGAACCCAGGAGGCAGAGGTTCCAGTGAGCTAAGATAGCGCTATTGCACTCCAGCTTAGGCAACAAGAGTGAAACTCCAACTCAAAAAAAAAAAAAAAACCCACACAGGCTTGTAGAAAACTATTTTGGGAAAATATGTTCTTAAAACATCAGTAATGATTATTTCTGGACATTGGGACCATTGATCATTTTAATTTTCTTTATAGGTTTCATAGTTACTAATATTTCACACATATTAATCCTATCAGAAATATTTTTTTTAAAAAACTATTTCCACTGAAAAAATTTTTTAAATGATTGGGAAGATAGACTACTTTACAGTCATTAAGAAAATTATGGACCAGGCATGGTAGCTAACGCCTGTAATCCCAGAACTTAGGGAGGCCAAGGCAGGTGGATCAGTTGAGGTCAGGAGTTCCAGACCAGCCTGACCAACATGGTGGTCCTCTAATAAACAGAAAAAATTAGCCAGGCATGGTGGTGGGCACCTGTAATCCCAGCTACTTGGGAGGCTGAGATAGGGGAACTGCTTGAAACCTGGGAGGTGGAGGTTGCAGTGAGCCGAGATTTTGCCACTGCACTCCAACCTGGGCAACAGAAGCAAAAACTCCATCTCAAAAAAAAAAAAGAAAGAAGGAAAATTGTGGTTAAACGGGCCCTGCATAAATGGTGGCGAGAGGGAAATTAGTGTGACTGAAAAAATAATTTTGTACAGTTACTGAGTATTGCATCTCATCAAGACCCTGAAATAGTTCAGTGAAGGATTACAATCCTAGTTCATGTCATTTCCAAAGTGATTAAGAGCCAGTAAGAACCACAGACAAAAACAAATGCTCATTTCAGAGCAGCTACTTAATAATTTGCATTTACCCCTCCTCACCTCCAATAACCAATTATTAAATATGTAGCAATTTAATATTTAAATATTACATTGTTGCAAAATAACATAAATCTTTATTGTAGTACTCAAGATTCATATGTAACAACAATTTCTTGAAGATTCTTATTTACAACAAATCTTCTCAACATTACACTATACTTTTTTCTTACAACTAAATACAAACATAATTCTTATTAATGTGTAACATTCCATCACATGGATGGAGTGTGATTTAACCATTTACATATTGCTAGATATTAATTTTATAAAAGAACATCCAGAAAGTAATTCCCAGTGATGTCATTTATTTCTAGACACTGAGAATTAACGTTGTGGGAGCTTATACAACTCTGATAATATCATGAAATGATAGATTTCCTCCCTCCCCAGTAAAAGTTAACCATTTACAAATACATACAACAATTCTGTATATAATCTTAAAGTATCTTTGTTGCCCTGAAAGCGCATAAACAGAGTCCAAGGAGTTAAGCATCTCTGTTCTGGGGTCCACTGGAGGGTCTGGCTCATTTTCCTGCTTGCAAGCATCCATCATAATTACCTTCGAATTTGCATTGCTCTTGGGAATACAGAAAGCTGATAGGGAATGACGAAGCACCATCATTTTAATACCGGTAGCTAGTATGAATTAAGGACTCACTATGTGTCAGGCACTCTCCTAAGATCCTCACAAATGTTAATTCATATGATCTTCAAAACAACACCGTGAAGTATACACTATTACAATTCTGAGGAAACTGCAGCACAGACTGCTTAAACTCGTTCAGATTTAAGTGGCAGTCAGAATTCAAATCCTCCTCTTAATATACGTTCGAAATTCTTAACCACTACATTACACTACACCTCCCTCAGTCGATCCAAAGATATACCCAAAATAAACTCACGTTGCCAAACTTCAAACCACATCTGGCTGGTACCAAAAACTTTTATTCATGAATTTCCTGGAAAAAAAAAAAAATCTCCACTCCTACCCCGGAATCATTAAACATATCTAAACCCTAAAAAAAGACTCCTTAACGAATAAATTAAAACAAAGCATGAACATTAATCTCCAGCAAGGGTATTTCCATATCATCAAAATCCTTAGAAAAACAGCGCTCACAGAATAATCGAATATACAGCCTACAGTTAACTAACCATGTGTCTAACTATAGAACAGCATGAAGTAGGCATTAAAAAAGGGAAATCTATTAATTAGGTCCCCTGCCCTTAACTAGGTAGGGATATCCTAAGGCCTAAATCAATGAATAAACAGATCACTTTTGAGCAGAATTTTAAACGGAAGGAAATCGAACGCATTTCACAGAAACAAAGCAGCAGCACAAACTCAAACGGAACCGGCTTTTTTAGAAGAGCAGCTGCGATTCGTTTCTCCTTCTCAAGCGCCTTCTCTGGAAACTGGCAGTGCTGGGGAAGCAGACCAAGTTCAGGACACCCCAGGCTTTTCTTGACTCGATCAGAACCCACCCTCCACGCTTCCCTGACCCCAGCTAATGGAAACGACAGGGCAGCGGCTCCGCAGTCACCCGCGTCTGGGTTCGCAGCTCCGGGTACGCTGTAGTTCGGCGCCCAGTTGCCCGAGCCCCGGGACCACCCACAATGTCTTTTAGGAACTGTCGGCGTGTCCTCTCAGCCCCCAGACACCCGCCCCGAATCTAGGTCGCAGCGTTTTGCAGGGGACCTTCATCCTGAAGCGTCCACCTCTGACCTCTCTCTCTTGGGCCTTTTCGCTAAGGCCGAGCCTAAGTGGCTGAAGCGCGGATGGGGATGCGCGGGGCCTCGGTCTCCAGTTACACCATAGGCCGCACCCACGAACCGGGCCTGACACAGTTACTGCCTCCAGCGCCTCCAGGCCTCAGGGCTGCATAAGCTCAGTCCCGCGAAAATACGCACGGCGGCCCGAGGCTCCACAGGTACCTTTTCTCCACCTCCGGTCCGGCCTGCAAAGCCTGGCCCAACCGCGGTCTTTTCCCTCAGAAAAGCAGCGGCCACAGCAGCGCCCGGCGCCCGGCGCCCACCTCTTCAGCCTCACCCGACTCGGAGGATCGCCCAGGCGGAGTCAGCGGCGCCAGGATACCGGAGAGCGCCCGTCTCCGTAGCGAATGCGCAGGCGCGTGGAGGGCGGAGGCAAGTCCCGCGGCTGCTGTGGGGCCGGGAGGGGCGTGTGGGGACGAGTCTCGGCGGGGACAGTCTGGCAGGGGAGTCGTACCCATAGGGGCGACAGTGTCCCGTGCCTCAGGCCTCTACCTCTAAGGCAGCCCCGTGACTGACCAATGCCATTAAAGATAACCCGGGCCTGCTTCCCTGTGGGCACTGCGGTCCAAAATTTTTAAAACCGATATTCCGGCTTTTTTCTGTTGGTTCTCCAGACTGCGAGCCCCGCCGCGCCCCCCAGCGAAGCCTTACCCGAGCTTTTGAAAATCGACTTGTGTCCGGAGTGCGCAGGCGCGCGGGTCGACCAAGGCGAACCCTGGGACCCTTTACGGAGCTAAGGAGACGTGTAGGGGCGCACCTGCCGAGGGGGTGGGGAGGTTTGGAGGTGGGTGGAGGTTGGCAACAGGATCCCGAAGGAGATGGAGTGTCCAAATCTAGGCCTGTAGGAGTGATCCTGGCAGTGAACTGGATGGAGGGAACCCCAGTGTCGCGAGCCTGGACCAAACCGCAGCGCGTGCTCCCTGTGGCATCTCCGCGTACCTGGACTGAGTGCCTTGCCGCAGGCGGAGTTGTGTTTCCTCGCAGAAGCCTGCTGCGTGCGCTTGTGCCGTTCTCTAGCGGGGGATTGGGATGGTGCTGCAGAGAAAGCTGGTAGTGGTGCCCGACTCCGACGCTGAGTGTAGGGGGTCTCTAGCGTCTGTGCGGTTTATGTCTGCGTTTGTGACGTACCTGGGATCGAATCTGTGACTGTGGCTCTGCCCCTGTCCATTGTTATTTCCGGAATGGTTTTGATAGGGCACCGCTTCTGGTTCTGGTTTTCCATGGAGACCGTTTGTGGGTCCCTATGCAACTGAGTGCTGGGATTTTGATTACCTGTACCTGGCCCTCGTGTGTCCTCAGGACTGTGGTGTTAGGCAAGTAAAATAATTGTAGAAAGAAAGAAAAAAATGGAAAGGAGGTAAGATTGCTATTACTTCCAAATGATGGGATTGTAGGAGTATGTAATCAGAAATTTGAAATGAATGGGACACCCATGAAACGGGAGGGAGAGGCATTTTATCTTTTTCCATACCTGGACTTGCAATATTCTAACAAATGAGATTTGAGTTTTCCCCTTTGTTCCTAGATGAAGTCTTGGATTAATTCAATGTCTCCAAGCCCACCTAGGCCTCCCAAAGTGCTAGGATTACAGGCGTGAGCCGCTGCGCCCGGATAGTAAGTTTATTTGATCTTTAGCTAAAAGATCAGCCTCATTTTCATAGCTAAAAATACCTTTAGTAATAACAATGTTCATTGTAATACTTCATTTTTAAAATATTAAAAACTTTCTTCTTTCTCCTTGATCTCTTCCAGATATTCAAGTATTGGTTAAGTGAATATGTGGAGGATATGCACTAATTACATAAATTATTTTCTCTTTAAAACCAACTACATTTCTTACAAAAGTTTTTGTTTATTAAGGATTTTATTGGTTTTCTTTGTACTTGTTGCTTTTTTTTATAGAAATGTTTCCTATTTCTTTAATTTCCACTTGTATCTTTTTTGTGTGTGTGTGATGACATGAGGTGGGCAATGGTAGAAAATGCTCACTTTGAGGGGCCCACTTATATCTTCATCAATTTCTTTTTTTTTTTTGAGACGCAGTTTTGCTCTTGTTACCCAGGCTGGAGTGCAATGGCGCGATCTCGGCTCACCCGCAACCTCCGCCTCCTGGGTTCAGGCAATTCTCCTGCCACTTTTTCAGGGCTTGTTTTTTACCTGTTTATTTACAATTTTCTATTTCTTTAAAATTCATCAGGTTGTATTCTGAAAGAAATCCTTGGTCTTAACTTCCAGCTTGCTGAGAGATGTTTTGTAGCTGTTTCAGTATTTTCACGTCTTATTTTGTAGCCCAATTATTAATTTTTAAAATTCTGAAAAAATTGCAAAGCACACGAGAATATGTAAATATGTGTACAGTTGAATGAATAATGAAACTAATTCTCATACCATAACCATAAAATATGAAGGTCTCTTAATTTTTTGGCTAATATTTACATGAGAAAAAATGTACATTCCCAAAAGTCAATACAACATATTTATTTTGAACTTTCATTCTCCTATAGCTTTCCTCGAGATTCACATTTTATTTATGCTTTTCCACATGTGCCTTATCATACTATGTCCATATTTATTTTTAATGAACAAACATCATACCTTTTACATCTAATTACTTGAGTCTCTCCCAAGCTCAAGGACATTTAGTTGCTTAACCATAGTCATTAAAATCAGGAAATATAATATTATTTGAAAAATCTAATCAATGTCCTTTATTAATATATTTTGCCAGTTGTACCTGCAGTATTCTCGAATAGCACTTTTCTTCTTTGCCCAGAATTCATTGTATTATCACTGATTGAGTTTGGTTTATAAGTATATTTAGTCTTACATCTGGAGCAGTTCCTTAGTCTCTTTAGTTGTTTATGACATGACTTTTTTGGAAAATACTGGTCTTTTTTTTTTTTTTTTTTGAGATGGTGTGTTGCTCTTGTTACCCAGGCTGGAGTGCAATGGCGTGATCTCGGCTTACCGCAACCTCCGCCTCCCGGGTTCAGGCAATTCTCCTGCCTCAGCCTCCCGAGTAGCTGGGATGACAGGCGCGCAGCACCATGCCCAGCTAATTTTTTGTACTTTTAGTAGAGACAGGGTTTCACCATATTGACCAGGATGGTCTCAATCTCTTGACCTCGTGATTCACCCGCCTCGGCCTCCCAAAGTGCTGGGATTATAGGTGTGAGCCACCGCGCCCGGCCCAATGGCCATTTGTTTTGTAAAATATTGAGTTTTTCTAATGATTCCCAATTATTAGATTCAGATTATGTATATTTTGGCACCCATATACTGTAGTATACTATACCATACTGTGGGCCCAGATGACCAGGGGCAGACATATGCTGCCTCTACTATTTCTGATTTCAAATATAAGTTTGATTTGCTTATTAGCTTGTAGAGGTCACAGTACACTGAAGTTTATACCCTGAAATAAACAATAGTGAATGAAAAGCACAACCAAAAGAGAACAGCTTGTAGCTTGTAAAAGCACGAGCAAAAGCGGTAATTGGAAGCCTAAAGTTAGACCATCTGAGAACACCCGATTAACCGTGGCACATGTGTGGTATGGTTGCAAGGCAGGTAAACACTGACTTGGTCCCATGAACTGCTTTCCAACATGGGGTCTGCACAGGGGTCTCGTAAAGAGGGCTTGTGTAAGCACCCAGGAAAAGTCGGCAACCTCTGCTCACAAGATCCAGGAGGATCTTTGCAGGTGGGAGCTGGCAAGGCAGAAAGGCCTTTCGGTAGGAGATAGTGGAACATCTCCTGCTCTGCCTATGTTCTCAGAATATGGGGTAATCTTGGTTGCCATATGTTCACAGTGCTTGGGAGATAAAAGCCCCTTGATGCATTGTGTGTGGTCGGACCTGGTGATGCCTTATCCACTGTGTTCCCGTGGAGCTACATATTGATAGTGATCAGTGGTAAAACTTGGGAGTACTAGATTAGCTTCTCTTAGAACCACCTGCTTCACTGTATTCTAATGATGCATGCTTCTCCCCCTGGCCATCTTGCCCCACAATAGTTTCAAGGCCTACCCCAATAACCACCCCTACCCCTGCTTTTCACACCTCAATTAATGAGTGTGTGCACCTAATAAAAACCTGTGGAAACCAGAACTCAGGGCCAATGTGGTCCTTGCACTGTGCGTTGGTTCCCCTGAACTCACACTTTAAGCTCTATTTCTGTGTCTTTATTTTCTTTCTCAATCCCTTGTCACTTCCAGGGTTCGGAGCACCCACTGGTGGGATTGGGGCTGGTACCCAACACATACTGTACTAAATACACAGTGCTTTCCCATTTTGTTTTATTTTTGAGACAGAGTTTTCCTCTGTCACCCAGGCTGGAGTGCAGTGGTGCCATCTCAGCTCATGCACCCAAAGGTGGCTGCTTACTCTGTAAGGTGTTGATCACCTGCGTGGAGACCAGCTCTCTGGGTGATTAGTTCTCCAGCATCAAAGCGAGCCACCACTGACTTGAAGATCTCAGTGGTAATGGACAGCAGCAACAGCTCATCATAGTCCTCTCCAATGCTGGTGAAGATGCGAGGAAGCTGGCTAGTGACAGGCCGGAAGAGAATGAGCAGTGTGATGTTGACATTCTGTAAATCTCTGCTACCAGTGATGGCTGAGAATGGCAGTCAAAGATAATTGGTTTCTGTACCCATGGGATGAGAAAGTGAGTCCTTTCCCCTATCACAATGACTGAACTCCAGGGAATCGGTTGAAGATGACAACTCTGTACCCAGCATCCACATGATATAAGTCAGAGTTCGCCACACCTCCTGCAACAGCTAAGGCCAGGGCAGACTTGCTGATGGACTCACACACTTTGGCAGCCATGTTTTCTTCTGCAGGACCCTCTCACACCTGCTTTCACTCTGACCTCCAAATCTAACTCGTGTAATTCTAACAGCACTATATTGTAGGTACTATCACCATTCATATATGATCCCCAGAAGGGATAAATATCTTCCCCCATATCATTCCAGCTATAAGAAGCAGGTGTCAATCATGAACATTAAATATGCAGAATGGCTAAACACCCTATCCCATCATTGCTTATATCGACAGAAGTTTCCCGTGTAATGGCTTTCCTTGGGTTTAACAATAAATGTTTGTTGCTGGAAAATGTTTACATACAAGTATAAAGAACAATGGTTTCCTATGTTCTCTCAACTTTCCTCTATGAATATTTTGGCAATCCTAAACCAGAGGACTATCAGAAAAAGGTTTCTTATGTTATTAAAAATATACCTTATAAATTCTCTGAATCTGAGTTAACACAGGTCATACCAAAGAAACTGCATACATTATTTACATTTTGAAAAGTTCACACCAGTACAAATTGATGCCTAATAAAAACTGAACTGTATTTAAAAGTCATCCCCCATTGTCTTCATTCAGATTGTTCTTCAGTGAGATAAATCCATTGACAAAAAGTGCTTTCTTTACTACCTTTATATATGCCAAATTTTCTCTATCAAATATGAATTCTCTGATGTACTTCAAGGATGGATCTAAGCCTAAACGACCTTCTGCATTTGTTACATTTAAAGGGCTTCTCACCAGTATGAACTCTATGATGTATACTAAGTTCATGGCTACTATTAAAAGCTTTCCCACACTCTTCACACATATAGGGATTTCCATCAGCATGAACCCTTTCATGTCTGACAAGATAAGAGGAACAGCGAAATGCCTTCCCACATCTTTTACATTCATAAGGTGTATCACTGGTATGAATTCTCTCATGAATAATAAGATGTGAGGCATGACTGAAAGTCTCCCCACATTCTTTACATTCATAGGACTTTTCACCAGCATGAGTTCGGTCATGATATATGAGGCTTGTGGCATGACGAAAGGCCTTGCCACATTCCTTACATTCATAGGGTTTCTCAGCACTATGAACATTCTGATGGGCTTTAAGTACTGAAATGAACCTAAAAGACTTCCCGCATTGGTTACATTCAAAGGGTTTCTTCCCACTGTGAACACTCAGATGCTGAGTAAGTTGTCCAGATACACTAAAGGCCTTCCCACATTCCTTACATTCGTAAGGTTTCTCACCAGTATGAACTCTGCGATGCATAGTAAGTTTATGACTGTAACTAAAACCCTTCCCACACTCTTGACATACATAGGGTTTCTCACCCGTATGAATTCTCTCATGTATAACAAGATATGAGGCACAACGAAAGGACTTCCCGCATTCTTTACATTCAAAGGGTTTGTAACCAGTGTGAATTCTGTTATGATGGGCAAGATGTGCACGCTGACTGAAGGCCTTTCCACATTCCTTACATTCATAAGGTTTCTCACCGGTATGAATATTCTGATGTATTTTAAGGGATGAATTGAGCCTAAAGGACTTCCCGCATTTGTTACATTCAAAGGGTTTCTTACCACTATGAATACCCTGATGTCGAGTAAGTCGTCCAGGCACACTAAAGGCCTTCCCACATTCCTCACACTTATAAGGTTTCTCAATACTTTCAAATGTATGAGGTGCAGCAAATTGATGGCTACTACTGAAAGCCTCCCCATTTTCTTTACATTCATAAGGTTTCTCCCCAGAATAAATTCGCTGATGCATGGTAAGTTGATACCTACAGGTAAAGCCCTTCCGGCATTCCTTGCATTCATAGGGTTTTTCTCCAGTATGAATTCTTTTATGACCCACAAGGTGGGAAAACTGACGAAAGGACTTCCCACATTCTTTACATTCATGTGGCTTCTCTCCAGTATGAATACTCTGATGTACTTTAAGGCCTGCTTTGAGCCTAAAGGACTTTCCACATTTGTTACATTCAAAGGGCTTCTCACCAGTGTGAATACTCTGATGTCGACTAAGTCGGCCATACACACTAAAGGCCTTGCCACATTCCTTACATTCGTAGGGTTTCTCACCATAATGAAATCTATGATGCACAGTAAGTTGACGGCTAGTCCTAAAAGCTTCCCCACACTCTTTACATTCATAGGGTTTCTCAACATGAATTTTCCCATGTTGAGCAAGGTTTGAAGGATAACTGAAGACCTTCCCACATTCTTCACATTTATAAGGTTTCTCACGAGCATGAATTTTCTGATGTTCTCTAAGGTCTGTAAGATGGCTAAATGCTTTCCCAAACTCTTCACGCTGATCATGTTCCTCACTAGTATGAATTCTTTGATGTACCATGAGTTCTGTAAGATGACTAAAGGCCTTCTGGCATTCCTTACACTCATATGGTTTCTGTCCATTATGAATTCTCTGATGGAGAGTAACAGATGAGTCTTTCCTATAAATGTCCATTTTCTTATCATTGATTATTTCACGCCTTGAATCCAAATCTAGAAGACATAAGACATAAAAGAAAAACATTTTGTTTACTGAGTGAGAAAATGTCAATGTGTTGTAGAATTAAGACGAATTCTCACCTATTACAGATGCTGAGAACTCAAAAATATGAAAGGAGAGCTCAAAAAACGAGTTTGTGCAGTGGAGTGCAGCCTTACACACACATGCTACACACATACACAAACATTCACACACACACAAAGGCAAACATACACACACACATAGAGCCCTGTTTTGTAGTGTTTGCCAAGATCTCTGGTGTAAATATTCCCACTGAGGGCAATTTCAAGCTGTCAATTCAATGCAAGTTTACTAACATAATGTGCATAACTGGTTCTAGATTTACAGAACTGACCAGCTATACCGCACCCCTGCTATATAAATTTATACCATATGCTAAGAAAACAGTATATATACTGGATCATTCTTCAATTACAATCTTCCCCGAAATATAGGTACTCCCATAACTATAGTTTATTCCGTTCTATATTTGACCATGTATACTATTTTTCTCTCTACATTAAATTAAATACTGAGTTTTAATTTCGTTATCTTACCCTGACATTTTCTTATTACCTCTGATCCTACAGAGGTTCAATCTAATTTTCTATCACAACTTTTCTTGGGTCTGTTCTGGTTTTCCTTAATATGTATATATGTATATATATGTATGTATGTGTATCACACTTTAGGTTCTGGGGTACATGTGCAGATGGTTTTCCTTTTTATCCAATGCTAACGCATTCTGGTAATGCCCAGAAGAGTATGCTAATTAATTTTTAGACACATACCAAATATGTACGCCAGAATTATGAAATGTTGAGCACTCAAACTTAGGGCAAAGAGGGGACCTGAATTACATTAAAGAAGAGAGCCAAAAACTAGATGAAAAATATTGGCAGAAGTGGGATGGAGGATAATGGTTTACAGTCTATATAAGGCAGGCTAGGCATGGTGGTTCATGCCTGTAATTCCAGCACTTTGGGAGGCCGAAGCTGATGGATCACTTGAGATTAGGAGTTCAAGACCAGCATGTGGCCAACATGGTAAAACCCTGTCTCTACCATATATGTATGTATGCATATATATATGCAGGGTATGGCGGCGGGTACCTGTAACCCCAGCTACTTGGGAGGCTGAGGCAGGAGAATTGCTTGAACCCAGGAGTCAGAGGTTGCAGTGAGCTGAGATGGCGTCACTGCACTCCAGCCTGGGTGACAGAGTAAGACTCCATAACCAAAAAAGAAAAAAAATACAGTCTATATAAAGGAATACGTTCAGCAACATAAAAAATGCTGTATTAGTGGGACATGACTTGTGGCATGATTTGTATACAAAAAGTGGAAATAAAATAAACAACGCTCTCTAAAATGGAGTAACAATACAAATTAATAATATCAGAAACTGTTGGCCGGGCGCGGTGGCTCAAGCTTGTAATCCCAGCACTTTGGGAGGCCGAGGCGGGTGGATCACGAGGTCAAGAGATCAAGACCATCCTGGTCAACATGGTGAAACCCCATCTCTACTAAAAATACAAAAAATTAGCTGGGCATGGTGGCGCGTGCCTGTAATCCCAGCTACTCAGGAGGCTGAGGCAGGAGAATTGCCTGAACCCAGGAGGCGGAGGTGGCGGTGAGCCGAGATCGCGCCATTGCACTCCAGCCTGGGGTAACAAGAGCAAAACTCTGTCTCAAAAAAAAAAAAAATAATAATATCAGAAACTAAAAGATTTTCCATGTGGAAATAGAAATGTCCTCAGCATAATAAATGCTGTGTCGTTATGGAAATAGAACAGTAAAAGGGAAGAATTCCAGCAAATCATGATGGAGAAAATGGGTACACACCATAATCATAGGCATTCAATATCAGCAGGCAGGGAATTCAAAGACTGAATACTTATCTCAGTAAAAAGGAAAGAAAATAAGTGAAAGATCACTACCCAACATTTAGGAAATTAATAGCAAGGTACAGGAAAGTAGAAAAATAAAGATAAAAGCAGACTATGACGCATTAGAAAACAGAATAGCGTCAACACCTAAATCAAAGACATGGTGTTTACAAGAATCATCAGGTAAAATATGGCTAAAGCAACCAAAAAAGAATAAAAAATAAAAATAAGAAACAAGGGAAAATAAGAAACAGGGATTTTATTTAAATTATGAGAAATTTCATAATATATACATATTTTGAAAGTATTAGAAACAATGAATAATTTTGCAGAGTCTTCAAAGGTGACCCTAAAAGTAAAAAGTCTAAACAGCCAATTGTCATGAATGAAATACAAAAAGCTGCTAAAAAGACAGTTACAATGAGCACATTTTACCACCTATCTTATAATTACTCAGTATCTAAATTTTTAAATATATGCGCATAAGATACTCCAGAGAAAGAAATAATTCAGGAAGGGAACAGGTAACATGAGCCTAGAAATATTATGAGAAAACGAAAGGAGATCTTTAAAGACTTAGAGTTGTGAGTAAACAAAACAATAAATATAGTAGCATATAAAAGTTTGGAGCCAGGCTCAATGGCTGATGCCTGTCATGCGAGCTAATATGACTGCAACATCAGAATATTAAGACAAAGCTTAGAAAAACACACTGGAAATGACAGACAGCATAGGAGATATAACCATGAGGGGGTAGACAGAAAATGATCAAAATGCAAATTATACAACTGAAATATATAATCACTAAGAGTCAGTAAACTTGACTGATCAATAAAAATTATTCAACTTGAAATGGAGAGAGAGAAATAGTTAAAAAATTTTTAAAGACCTGTGGGAATAAATCAAAAGATATGATTGAAATTATAAACCCAAAAAAACAAAGATTTCAGCAGGAAAAATATCTCAGGAAATAGCAACTGAAAACATCTCAAATTTAGTGAAAGAAATAAATTTGTAGAATTAATGATGCTACTTTAATGACAAGTAAGATACATTTACTGATAAAAGCAAATTAAAATACTTTGTTGCCATCAGACTTACTATACAAAAACTGCTAACAAGTTGTTTAGGACCAAAGAAAATAATATCAAAGAGAAATCTGAATCTTCAGAATTTAAGAAAAGCATCACAAAAGATGATGTAAATACATGAAATCATTTTTGCCACCTTTTTTTTTTTTTTTTTTTTGAGACGGAGTTTTGCTCTTATTACCCAGGCTGGAGTGCAATGGCGCGATCTCGGCTCACTGCAACCTCCACCTCCTGGGTTCAGGCAATTCTCCTGCCTCAGCCTCCTGAATAGCTGTTATTACAGGCACGCGCCACCATGCCCAGCTAATTTTTTGTATTTTTCGTAGAGATGGGGTTTCACCATGTTGACCAGGATGGTCTCGATCTCTTGACCTCGTGATCCACCCTCCTCGGCCTCCCAAAGTGCCTGAATTACAGGCTTGAGCCACCGCACCCAGCCAGGCATTCAGTTATTCTTAACTTTCCCTATAATCCTTTTTATTTCTCTCAATTCAATAGACCTGCTCCCCTTTCATTCCTAATTTTACCAATTTGGGTCATCTTTTTACTTTGGTCAGACTATCTAAAGGTTTATCAATTTCTTCTATCTTTCAAATAACAACTTTTTGGCTTGTTGATTTTCTGTATTCTATTTTTATTCCCTAATTAATTTACCTCTATTCTGATGTTTACTATTTCCTGAGTTCTAGCTGATTTGGGTTTGATTTTGATCATTCCTTGTTTCTTAAAGTAGAAAGTTAGGTTACTGATGTGAGATCTTTATTCTTTTTCAATATGAAAATTTATGGCCATAAATTCTGCCTTAGCACTGTTTTCAGCTGTATGCCATATTATGGTGTTTTGTTGTTTTTTATCCATCACAAAGTATGGCCATAAATTCTGCCTTAGCACTGTTTTCAGCTGTATGCCATATTATGGTGTTTTGTTGTTTTTTATCCATCACAAAGCATTTTCTAATTTTTCTTTTCATTTCTTCTTTGTCCCTTTGAATGTTTAGCCTAGTGTTGTTATTTCCATTTATTATTAAATTTCCCTCTGTTGTTTTTGAGGTTTAAAAAAATCCCTTTAGCTCACTCCTATAATCCCAGCACATTGGGAGGCCGAGGCGGGCAGATCACAAGGTTAAGGGATCGAGCCCATCCTGGCCAACGTGGTGAAACCCTGTCTCTACTAAAAATACAAAAATTAGCTGGGCGTGGTGGCATGTGCCTATAGTCCCGGCTACTCAGGAGGCCGAGGCAGGAGAATTACTTGAACCCGGGAGGCGGAGGTTGCTGTGAGCCAAGATAGCACCACTGTACCCGAGCCTGGTGACAGAGCGAGACTGTCTCAAAAAAACAAAAAACCCTTTAATTTTGTTACTTAATTACACTTTAAAGCAGCTAGAACTCAGGAAATAGTAAACATCAGAATAGAGGTAAATTAATTAGAAAATAAAAGTAGAATAGAGAAAATCAACAAGCCAAAAAGTTGTTATTTGAAAGATAGAAGAAATTGTTAAACCTTTAGATAGTCTGACCAAAGTAAAAAGATGACCCAAATTGGTGAAATTAGGAATGAAAGGGGAGTAGGTCTATTGAATTCAGACAAGTTTTGTTTTTTTTGTTTTTTGTTTTTTACTGTAATAGGAACATGTAAGATGACATCTACCCACTTAAATTTTTTTTTTTTTTTTTTTTTTTTGAGACTGAGTTTCACTCTTATTGCCCGGGGTGGAGTGCAATGGTGCCATCTTGGCTCATTGTAAACTCCGCCTCCCGGGTTCAAGCAATTCACCTGCCTTAGCCTCCCGAGAATCTGGGATTACAGGCACATGCCACCACACCTGGCTAAATTTGTATTTTTAGTAGCGACAGGGTTTCTCCATGTTGGTCAGGCTGGTCTTGAATTCCCAACCTCAGGTGATGTACCAGACTCGTCCTCCCATAGTGTTGGGATTATAGGCGTGAGCCACTGCACCTCGCCTTATCCACTTATTTTTTTTTTTTTATTGAAATGGAGTTTCGTTCTTATTACCCAGGCTGGAGTGCAATGGCGCGACCTGGCTCACCGCAACCTCCACCTCCTGGGTTCAGGCAATTCTCCTGCCTCAGCCTCCCGAGTAGTTGGGACTACAGGCGTGCACCACCATACCCAGCTAATTTTTTGTATTTTTAATAGAGACAGGGTTTCACCATGTTGACCAGGATGGTCTCGATCTCTTGACATCGTGATCCACCCTCCTCGGCCTCCCAAAGTACTGGGATTACAGGCGTTAGCCACCGCACCTGGCCTACACTTAAATTTTTAAGTGTATAATACATTATTTTTGACTGTAGATAAAATGTGGTACAGCAGGTTTCTAGAGTTATTTATTGTAATAAAAGAAATATTATGCCCATTGTACCTCCTTCTATTTTTTTGTCTCCTAAGTTTCATTGGTCTAGCTACCTTGTATATGTGCAATCATATAATACTGTATGTCTTAACATCTTGCTATTTATTGTTTATATGTCTTACATTTCCTTTATTTATTATATCCTTTTCTATTAAATAGATATTGTGGAGGGTACTTTTTTAATTTCCTTGTTTTTTCTGCAATATATATATTTTTTCAGTTTTTTGTTTTGTTTTGTTTTTTGAGACAGGTCTCACTCTCTCACCCAGGCTGGAATGCAGCAACACTATCACAGGTCACTACAGCCTTGATCTTCTGGGCTCAAGTGATTCTCCCACCGCAGCCTCCTGAGTAGCCAGGGCTACAAGAATGCACCACCATGTCTGGCTAATTTTTAAGAAACTTTTTTTTGTAAGGATTCAGTTTCACTATGCCCAGGCTAGTTTCAAAGTCCTGGGTAGGAGAATCATTTGAACCTGGGAAGCAAAGGTTGCAACAAGTTGAGATTGCACCACTGTACTCCATCCAGGGCGACAGAGCAAGGATCCACCTCAAAAAACAATAAAACCAAAGAATGTACTTTTAGTGAATGGAGTCATGTATATGAATCTGTGCCAAAGAGGACCTGGAGAGCATTTGGACACAAAATGCAAGTAAAATGACTGCATCCTGGAAGGACAGCACTTGTTGATAAACTGGAAGAGAATTATAAGAAAAATAACATGGCAAGCAGGTACTGAAAGAGACATGCAGTTCATTGGCTATTTCTTTTTCTTTTTTGAGACGGAGTTTCACTCTTGTTGCTCAGGCTGGAGTGCAATGGCATGATCTTGGCTCACTGCAACCTCTGCCTCCTGGGTTCAAACGATTCTCCTGCCTAAGCCTCCCTAGTAGCTGACATTACAGGCGCCCACCACTATACCAAGCTAATTTTTGTATTTTTAGTAGAGAAGAGGTTTCACTATGTTGGACAGGCTGGTCTTGAACTTCTGACCTCAGGTGATCTGCCTGCCTCGGCCTCTCAAAATGCTAGGATTAGGGCAGTGAGCCATCACACCCAGCCTTCATTGGCTATTTCATGCTGAGATATCCATTTCTTCTCTACATCTCAACCTTCCTCCCTGAGAAGGAAACTTTATGATCAGTGTTTCAAGGATGCATTTAGCAAATGAGATGACCACTTCCACATGGGCTACTCACATACAAATATGACTGCCCCTTCCTGACTTGCTCTTACCTGTACACTCTCCTCTTGTTTCTTCCCTCACAATCATCCATGGTTCTTTTCCTTGCTCCAATAAGGTGATTAAATCTGGCTTAGATATGGAATGTCCTGCTTATAAAGAAAGGAAGTACCACAAAATACAGAAATCAACTTTGAAGGTCAAATTTAAAATTATAATTGCAATAAATGAAAGGTCAAACTGATACTGAATAAGATTTTAGAGAACAGTAAGAGAAATAAAAAGATCACCCAGGGAGATCTGCTTTGTTTGCTGATTTTCAAAAGAAATTTAAACTTATATGTCCTCTAACTCTAGAAAGCAAGCATAAAGTGGTTGAAAACGCACACTCTAAAGCCTGGGATTGGCTGGGTGTGATGGCTCATGCCTGTAACCCCAGCACTTTGGGAGGTCAAGGTGAGTGGATCACCTGAGGTCAGGAGTTCGAAACTAGACTGGCCAATATGGTTAAACCCCACCTGTACTAAAAATACAAAAATTAGCTCGGTGTGGTGGTGGCACTTGTAATCCCAGCTACTAGGGAGGCTGAGGCAGAAGTATCGCTTGAACCTGGGAAGCGGAGATTGCAGTGAGCCGAGATTGCACCTCTGCACTCCAGCCGGGGTGACAGAAAAGACTGTTTCAAAAAAAAAAAAAAAGCCTGGGATCAATTCCTGACTCTGTCATGTGTGTGTGACCTTGGGCAAGTCACTTACGCTGCTGCTCAGTATTCTCTCTTATAAAATTGGGAAAATAATAAAGCTGTTGGCAGTATTCAATTACTTGATACATGAGTATTTAGAAAAATGTCTGTGTGGAAATCACAATGCTAGCTGTTAAAATTATACTACTGCAATTATTTTACTAAGTGTATACAAGAAGAGATAGGTACAGCATATTCATCCCATTTTTATGTGATTTTCATGGATTATGAGTTTCAACCATAAATCAAATGAGTTCTGTCTCAGGAAATGTACTGCTTTCTCCTTAGTTTTAAGTAAATTTCATTTATCCAATCCACCCCTCTGACTATATATACAGGCTATCTCTTTTGATAGTAATAGTAATTCAGCACCCTCTTTCAAGCTAATATCCCTGCAACTAGAGCAGATAATAACATGGAGCACCACAGCAATTCTGTGCCACAAACTAAATAAGAAACCTAAACGCCCTGACAATGGTTCTACAATGAGCACCAGAAAATTCTAAGCCAAACCATTGGTTTAACCCATTTACTGGGTTAAAGAACAGAAACAAATAAAAGAAGTAGCAGAGGGAGATGTGAATGTCACTGAAAGACAGAAAAGATGAAAGTGTTGACAGGACCTGCCATTCCTGACTCAAGAAAGTTGAAACCACCTCAATAGAAATAGAGAAAATAATTTTAGTTTCTTAAAATGCAGTAAATAAAGTAAAAACAAACAAAAAAACAATAAGAAAAAAAAAAGAGAGAGAGAAAAAAAATGCAGCCCTGAAAATCACAACAGAAAAAAGAATATATCCTACAGAACAGATTCTAAATTATTTTAAGTCATTCCAGGTCAATAAACATACCCAGTGAGACTAAGTTATCATAGTTCTCCATCATCACCTCCTGATACAAGGTCTTCTGAACCAGGTTGAGGTATTCCCACTCCTGATGAGAGAAGTCTATGGCCACATCCCTGAATGTTATCGATCTCTGAAACAGCAAACCCATGTATTACTGGGAAAATTAAAGAAAATGCTAAGAAAATAAAGTGGAAGAGATGAAGGGCTGCATTGCAGCAGAAGAGCAATACAACCGGCACACAGACCAGCAATCTATGCTATCTGTGGGGAATGAAACAGAATTTTATACATATTTCTGAAGAAACCTGAAATGCAGACAAAACTTTCTCCCTATTCTGGGACACTTCTTAGGTATCTGAGCCTTTTGAAAATGACAAAATAATGACATTTTTCTATTAAACTAAATCATTATTATGCATATAATGCCCTAGCAGTATCTGCCTCATAAATTCTTAGTCAATGTGTGTTAATGAATGTGAATCAACATGTTGAGGAATACTTTGACTTGAAAGATAATTTAAAATTTTAATCGAGATGTTTTATCCAAAATTCTCAATCTAGAAAAGTAGGTACAGATTCTCAATTTAGAAAAGTAGGTTTCCTGTGACCTTGTGGTACAAAGGTAGCATATCTGACTCCAGAAAATTAGGTTTCCTTAAGATTAATAATTTCTTCTAGCATCAAGTACTTCATTATATCAGATCTTACCATGAGCAAAGCAATTTTGTTTTATCAAGACATCATTATTTTATGGTATTTGTTTTTCAGGGCTTTTCTTTGAGACAGTCTCACTCTGTCACACAGGCTGGAGTGCAGTGGCACCATCTCAGCTCACTGTAACCTCCGCCTTATAGGTTCCAGTGATTCTCCTGCCTTAGCCGACCAAGTAGCTGGGACTACAGGTGTGTGCCATCACACCCAGCTAATTATTGTATTTTTTAGTAGAGACGGGATTTCACCATATTGGCCAGGTTGGTCTCAAACTCCTGACCTCGAGATCTTCCCGTCTCAGCCTCCCAAAGTGTTCTGACCTCATGATCTTCCCGCCTCAGCCTCCCAAAGTGTTGGGATTACAGGTGTGAGCCACCACACCTAGCCTGTTTTTCACAGCTTTCTATCCAAATCCATGACCTCTGTGTTTACAAGTTCCAATCCAACACATTAACTCACACAAAGCATGAGATTTTACCCTACCTGAAGATTTAGATTCTTCAATACCAATTTCTACTTATCTAGCTGGAAAACTCAGATGTCTGAAGAATTTCAGACTTCTCATGGATGGTCAAATGAAACTGTTGTCTTGGTCACAACAAATGATGAAACCCTGAAACGAGTATATCTGTACTCAAAGAACTTGACTGCTTTCCTCTGTGTCACTGCCCAGAATAGAAGAATGGGCACCTAGAGGACATTGAGTAATTTGGTCAATAATGACATGAACACTACTGAATTTACAGTGGCCCACCTAGCGAGGATGCTGCGTGACACGGCACACATTTTATGGGAAGAATGAGAACTGGGGAACAGGTTAACTGAACACCCTCTCACGGAAGGTAACTTCAGGAAAAATTATAAAAAGACATACACGATCTAAAAAAAAATCACACACAAACACATTAACATGGTGAGAAATATCAACTTACACAGGCCATGGTTTTAGACTGGAAAGAGCTGATCGATCCTCAGTGTTTCTCTACCAGAAGAGCAGAGTCAAAGAACCAAGACCTGAAAGAAGAGAAGACCTTGAGACCAGTTGCGCTTTAGTGTTTCCCAAAGGACTCAAGGTAATAGTACTGTTTTCCTCTTCCATTCCAAGTTCCAAACTACCTCCTATCACATACAATTTGGGAAGATTAAGATTCTAGATAAATCCATTTCCTCCCCCACTACCCAAAGGTCTTGCCTATACAGCTATACATCAGAAACATACTGTCATGGAAACCAGACCCAGATAATTCAGCAGGAAATTTTCTGGCTAATGTACTATGTTGGTGAGGCAGAGGTGGACCTCAGATTAGGCAGCTCTGTCCTACTTTGAGCAGACCTACCTCTTCCCATTCTCACCTTTACTGGTAAAAACAGGGCACATCATCCATACTAGAACCTCTTTTTAGTCTTGGAATTGGGTGAAATTCGTCCAGATATTGGAGACAGATGGTGAGTGTTCAGCATTCTAAGCCTAGCAAAGCTTCCTAGTTAAATACATAATAGATTATCACTGTCCTAGAATACAAAGTAGTCATTAAATGTGAAATTGAGAAACATTCAAGGACATGAAAAATATTCAGAAACAATGTCAACAGAAAGATCAGACTGACTAATACATTTAAATATAAATACATATCCATCCACAGAGAGAAAAGCTGACAGACAGATAATCATAAAACAGTCAAGGCAGGCAAGATAGCATGCACCTGTCACCCCAGCTACCTGGGAGGCTGAGGCGAGAGGATTGCTTGTGCCCAGGAGTTCAAGGTTGCAGTGAGCCATAATTGTGTTACTGAACTCCAGCCTGGGTGACAGAGTGCTACTCTGTCTCCAAAACACAAAAAAATGCTTATACTTATAGTGCTTGTATCTCACTTTGTAATCCATTTGGGCTCTATACATGAAACAACTAAATAAAGCTAAAGGAAAAGTAAATAAAGTTGCTTTGCTTAGCAACTTCCCCATAATCAGAGTTTGATAAATAGCATTCCCTATACTTTTATGTGGCTCTTGATTTTTTTAATTATTAATATTTCCTTCATAATTATTGTAAGCACGGACTTATTAACTGGAAACTTGTATATGTTTCCAATTTGTTAAGGTGGGAATTTCAACAAAATTATTTTATTCTCTAAATTTAAAATCATTTTGCTGAATAGCTTATCTTCTGTGGGTTCCTTTGGGTACCCAAACCTCAACTCACTTTATCACTTGTTCTCAGATATGCTGGAATTGTGTCTCCAACAACATGGGGAACTGTCCCTGAGTAATCTCCTCTATGAATGGATGATGGTCTCAATACAGCTTTATTTCAGGTCTTCTTAACAGAAGGACTTATTTCGTTTCTAAATCTGGCAGGTTGGTCAAGATATCCTCCAGATAGCTACTGAATTTCCTCATGCAATTAATTTTGCTTTCCATCTAATATCATTACAATGAAAACTACAAGGTTTAAAAGATATAGTATAAAACCTGTTCATTGCCATACACAGCCCATAGATTTGGTGTAATTTGTTCGTAGCCTGACTATTGCTATAGTCGGACTGATGTCTCTGTTCTGTGAACTCACCAAGTAGGTCACCTAAATCTCTCCAAATAGGCTGTCACACATGGCCTTAAACTTCCTTCTTCATAGATTATAAGTATTTCAAAGGAAGCAACTCTGTATTTTCAGTGATTCTCCCATTTCAAATACTGCAATTTTCACGTATGGCATAGCAGAAACACTTCATAAAAGTCTGATTTTTTTTTTTGAGATGCAGTTTTGCACTTTCACCCAGGCTGAAGTGCAGTGGCATGATCTCGGTTCACCGCAACCTCTACCTTCCAGTTTCAAGCAATTCTCCTACTTCAGCCTCCCAAGTAGCCAGGATTACAGGCAGACACCTGCAACCATACCCAGCTAATTTTTGTATTTTTAGTAAACACAGGGTTTCACCATGTTGCCCAGGCTGGTCTCCAACTCCTGACCTTGTGATCCACCCACTCTGGCCTCCCAAAGTGCTAGGATTACAGGTGTGAGCCACTGTGCCTAGACCAGAAGTCTGATTTTTTATATTTAACCACAAAATTTACTTGTAGGAATTTTTGAAAGGAAACAACTATAGAAGTACACAACCAATATGTACAAATACATTCATCAAAGATATTTTTTGATTATCAAAATTAAAAACACAAAACATTAAAAGCACAGTAAGGAGTAGGTTAAATATATTATTCTCTGGACTATGGAAACATCCTATGACATTATTACTAAGATTGATCTTAAATCATTCATATAATCAAAGGAAAATAGTACCAAGGATGAGTTAGTAAATAAGATAGGTTTAAAAACGTATGCACCTCGTCTCTACTAAAAATTAAGAAAAAAATAAATTAGCCAGGCATGGTGGCGGGCACCTGTAATCCCAGCTAGTTGGGAGGCTAAGGCATAAGAATCACTTGAACTGGGAGACAGAGGTTGCAGTGAGATGAAATCATGCCATTGCACTCCAGCCTGAGCTGGAGACCTTGTCTCAAAAAAAAAAAAAGTATGCACAAATTAGGTATGCAGTATCCTGGTTTAATTAAGACAGGCTCTCTTCTCACTCTCAAAAGTGATACCAAGCTTTGCCCTGTGAAAGATGCTAACATCTCAGTGCCTCTGTTTCCCCATCAGCAAATAAGGGATAGGAATATATCCTACTCTACAAGACAGTTCCAAAGATTAATCAAGATGATCTATAGAAACACAAAAAAAAGCATAATATGATAGGTAGTATAATAACGTATCATCAAACATTAAAAGATAGAAAACATGCTTATTAATCCATTATTATAAAAGGAACTTAATTCTGTTGCTCTTTGTTTTTCTTAAAGTTTGTGCTTCATGGGCTTTCTCCTACTCATAATTCTGAATTTACAAATTTCATGGCCCACCTTTAAGAAAATACAAATCTTCTGTAAAAAAACATTAGGTTTTTTTTTTTTTGAGATGGAGTCTCGCTCTGTCACCAGGCTAGAGTGCAGTGGTGAGATCTTGGTTCACTGCAATCTCCGCCTCCCAGATTCAAGCAATCCTCCTGCCTCAGCTTTCCAAGTAGCCAGGACTACAGGTATGCACCATCATGCCCACCTGATTTTTTAATATTTTTAGTAGAGATGGGATTTCACTATATTGGCCAGGATGATCTCAATCTCCTGACCTCATGATCCACCTGCCTCTGCCTCCCGAAAGTGCTGGGATTACAGACGTCGCCTGGTTTTTTGTTTGTTTGTTTTCGAGATGATCAGATAGGTAAGGAAATAATGCCCCTTTCCTTACTACCCAGCAGGTACAGAAAACAAGACACCACTCAGCCTCACACACATTCTAAGAACTGGATCTAATAAAGTGCTAGGTCAAGAATATTAAGGAGAGTGAATCTTATTTTCCTGCCAAATACAAATATTTATGTAAGTATTTGTAAATATTACAATACCTATTTATTATTATGACTGAACTATTCTTGGAAATATTTGAAGACATCTAGAAATCATAAATTACTACTTTTCTCTGAAGTAACTTTGCATTTCTAAATTACTAATTCTGAGAGGATGTATTACTTCATAATTTGCACCCTGTTAAGTTTTAAATCGAATTTTTAATACCTAAAAGGTGTAAAAACTTGGGATTGCTTTTCACCTCTGAAGGCCGTCCCTGGTAGCTCCCTCTCCTCCTAAAATGCAGAGATATATGAAAGCCCATGGCAAAAGACCCAGTTACAACACACTGGCTTATAGATCTAATGGGCTTTATTTGTGATTCATGATAGGAGTAGCCTCCTCCTACAGAGCAATGGAGAAACAGTGGATTTTTTAAGGTGGGAACAAGTAAGAGAACTATAGAAAATTGGGCCAGGCACGGTGGCACATGCCTGTAATCCCAGCATTTTGGGAGGCCAAGGTGGGAGGATCACAACGTCAAGAGATAAGACACCATCCTGGCGAACATGGTGAAATCCCATCTCTACTAAAAATACAAAAATTAGCTGGGTGTGTTAACTTGCCTGTAGTCCCAGCTACTCAGGAGGCTAAGGCAGGAGAATGGCTTGAACTGGAGAAGCAGAGGTTGCAGTGAGCAGAGATTGCACCACTGCAATCCAGCCTGGTGTCAGAGAGATTCTGTATTAAAAAAAAAAAAAAAAAAAAATTGGTGAGCATCAGGTTATTTCAGTTTCCTTTTTTTCTTCAAGGGTTAAAGCGGAGGTAATTTCCTTATTATGCTGACTCAGGTAGACTGTTATCTTATTTTCAGGAAAAACTGATATGTTTGGCACTCTAACTGCTCCCTTAAAGTTTCAGTTTTGTAATGTTGCTTTTAGTATGAGTGACTTCATTTTGGTTTAGTCTTGTCTGTTGGAGCCTAGCGCAGGAGCTCAGTCCAAAGTAATGGTGTCTCTTAATACTGCTTTTATATCCATGGTTGGGTTAGATTCCTTTTTCTAACTAAAAGTTGGAGTCTTTGTATCTCTATCTCTAGTTGTATCTCTATCTCTAGTTGTATCTCTATAATATCTCTTTTTCTTTTTTGAGACGGAGTTTTGCTGTTGTTACCCAGACTGGAGTGCAATGGCACGATCTCAGCTCACTGCAATCTCCACCTTCTGGTTTCAAGCAATTCTCCTGCCTCAGCCTCCTGAGTAGCTGGGACTACAGCCACGCACCACCATGCCCAGCTAATTTTTGTATTTTTAGTAGAGACAGGGTTTCACCTTTGTTGACCAGGGTGGTCTCGATCTCTTGACCTTGTGATCCACCCGCCTCGGCCTCCCAAAGTGCTGGGATTATAGGCGTGAGCTACCGCGCCCGGCCTTATCTCTATTACTTCTTTAATTTTCTTCTGTAAAAACAAAATCACACACAAGTGCTCATGCATGAAAACTGAAAACATAATACACCCCAATTTTTTTAAGTGATTATCCCTGAGCAGGGAGGTTTGGGCTATGCTACCTTTCTTCTTCGAAACTGTCTTAGGGAATGAAATTTTTGTGATGAATCTGCCTTAATTCCATCATCATAAATATAACTTAGAGGCATTTCAAAGTAGTAATAAACTATTTCTAAAAGTATCATTATGGGGAGAGGGTACATGTGTCATTAAAAGAAATCTAAATATTAGGCCAGAATGAAAAATCAGTGTGACTAAAACATGTAACACTTTGTCTTCTTGAATAGTCTTTAGCTGTATTTCTTTGACATAACTAGAAATAATTCTCTATAAGGATTCTTTCCGTAATGGACAGGGAAATGTCTTCTGCACATTTAATGGGAACCAGTACACAAAATAGGTCAAATAACTTGGGGTACACATTATACACTCAGTAAATGTGGCCATGACCCTTTCACTCTTCTCTGAAAAACCAGTTAAATAATCATTTTGGATATAATCCTTGCAGAAGCTTTTGGAAAATTCCAGTGTTTAAAAATGAGCTGCATATACAGTTTAACATTTTGAGAACTGTGGTCCATCACTGTAACTGTAAATACTGTTAAACATTAGATCACAGCTATTTTTCCTGTGACAGATTCTTTACAAACATAAATCTTATTACCTGTATAATATCCAATCCCATGATGTTGCATCATTGTCTTAACCATTCCCATAATCTTATTACTTTTCTGCAAAACTATTCAAAGGTATAAAACTCTTTGATTTCAGATCTAAAACCCAAGTCTAAATAATTTGATTATGGGCATCCTGAAAAAATGCAAATTAACAAACATGTACAGCAATTCCTTATAGAATTTCAGGGGGTATATAATGTCCCTTATGTCCATAAACACAGACCAACGACTGAGAATTTCTATTTTGGAAAACTTCAATTCTGGCTCACTTCCTTCATTTGCAAGGACACATCACCACTAAGTTCATATTCTTGTAGCTTTTGTTCCAGAGAAATCCAAAATGGAATATCCAAAACTATCTCATAATACTTAGTGCTTATGCGTGTAATTTCATACACATAACCAGAAGGAAGTATGTTGGATGGAATCTGCAATCATCCTTCACTGCAGGTTCTTGGGGTCAGAATTCAAAAAGGCCGTGTTTGTTAAACATGTAAATGAAACTCCAAGAACCGGGAGGTGGGGGTGGAGAAACAACCCTTTTCCTACACTCAAAACTGACAAACCCTGCCTGACCAAACTTTAGTCAAGCTATTACACCTTAGCTAGGTCCATCTGTCCACTTCAATGTAAAATCTGGCTATAGCAAAGAACTATACTAAGTCAGTTCAGCAAGAACCCTTCACCTCCATATCTTCATTCTACACCGTCCCCCAGGTGATAAAGTCATCACCAGGTCTCTCTTCAGAAATAATCCTCTTAGGTGCGTTTGGTCAGAATCCTCCTATCCCAGACATTTCCTGTTAGTAATTTTTCATCCAGTGATCCCTAACCTTCTTGGCTATAAATTCCCACCTATTTATGCTAAATTCGGAGTTGAGCCCAATGTGTCTTACCCACCGCAAAAATCTCACCGCCAGGATCCCAGTACTGATGGTCCTGAATAAAGGCTTCTTCTGCATGCTTTAACAAGTGTCACTGAATATTTTTTTCTTTAACAGAATCTATCATACCTGTCTTAAGGGCAATTCCTCTTCTAAGCTTCCCATCCTACCTTTCTTCTCACTGGAAACCTTCATCCAAGGCTCAGTGTCTGATTTCCCACTGGGACCATTTCTCTGTTGCAGTCGTACTAGTCTGAGGAGGGCACAGGAAGCAGCAGGGAACCTGGAGCCAAGAGTCAGTGGCCCCAGAGAGCCCAGAAACGCACGCTTTGCAAAGGATAAGCGCCACATGTCTAGGTCACACAAGGTCGACCACGTACCCCTCACATTCCCACAACTGCACCCACATCACACAGACACACGGGTCCCGTCGCTGCTGCGCGGTCTCTCACGCTCCCCGCCTGTCTCCTAGAGATGAGACCCTCCTCCGCAGCTCCAGCATCCCAGGCCTGAGGAGGCGGAAGGCTAGCCCGGCCCACGCCCAGGGCCTCCGCGCTCTGAGCGCCTTCTGCAGCCCCACTCTCACCGCTACGCAGGATCCCACGCGGGCTGCGGGCTGGAGATGAAGAGGCACCCGCATCGACCCGCGCCGCCTTCTTCCTCAGGTGGAACCAGGTCATGCGCAGCGCAGAGGCAGAGGCCCCGGAACTGGAGCCAAGAGTTCAAGTTTTCTCAGTCGTCTGTGGATACGTAGTCCAAGCCAGAACAGTCCGGACAGCAGGCACCGATGAATGAAGTGGAGTCCAGAGTCCTAAAAACCTACAAGAAATAACGGCAGTGACCAACTGGACTGCGCGCGCCGCCCACGGACCGAACCTCGGAGACTTCTGGGAGTGACCACTTGGCCTAGGAGTGCGCATGCGTAATCAGCCAATGCTGGGTCCCCAGTCCTGAGGATTAGTTAGTGCGTTCTCAGCTCCAGCAGGAGGCGACTCTGAGAAGAAACCGATCCAGGTAACCTTAGGAAGAGAACTCCGGAGCTCATTTATTCCGAGGCCTCAGCCCCGAGCATGAGGGTCCACCGTGTAGAATCACTGCAGTGACCCCAAGGGCGATTGCCTGCTGGATGGGTGCGAGCTCCTCAGGGTGGAGCGCTGAGACCATCTTGGCCCCTGAGGCAGCGCTGGCCTCCTTGGTAACACGGAGGACCGGGACTTTTAATACCACCCAACAGGCCCAGCTTGTCTCGGTAAGTGCTAGTTAAGTGGACTCACGTCCTATACGAGGGATTGAAGTTCCATCACATTCTTCAGTACAATGACATTATGTTCTTCATCTTCGGACATGAATACATTTGACTAAAAATTTGACTAAAAAATCATCTGAAGAAATAACTGCTAAATTTGTTTTGGAATAGGCTTCTTAAACATAAAAAAAGAAATTAAAAAAATTTGAACCTTCATGTAATACTTCATAAATCTTCATAGTTATTTATAAGCATCCAAAATTTCCAAATGGCAAAAAAGGAATAAATAAGAAAAATTTTTACTTAAGTAACTTTGGGGGAAATATTTACAACAGATAAAATAGACAAATAGATAACAGTCCAAATTTCCTGTTTCTTTGGCTAAATAAAATATTGATGAATACAGGCGTGCACTGTGGCTCACGCCTTTAATCCCAGCATTTTGGGAGGTCAATGCAGGAGGATCACTTGAGGTGAGGAGTTTAAGACCAGCCTAAGAAACATAGTGAGACACCCCGGTCCTCATCCCAAACTCTACCAAAAACAAAAGTTAGCCTGGTGTGGTGGCACACGCCTGTAGGCCCAGCTACTCCAAAGGCAAAGGTGGGAGAGATCAGTTGAGCCCAGGAGTTCAGGCTTCAGTGAGTTATGATGGTGCCACCACACGCTAGCCAGAGCAACAGAGCAAGACCTTGTCTCAAAAAATAAATAAGTAAAATTAATTTTAAAATAAAAAATATTCATCTAGGCCCTAAGAGGAAAACGAACAAAAACAAAAAATTCACCATTCAAAAATACAAATAGTCAAAGGGGAAAAAAAGCTATTAAAGTTACAGTCTAAGAACGTATTGATCACTTATTTCTTCTCTTAATTCATTTCTGGATTTGTTGCTTCTGAATCTCCTGAGTAATCTTTCAGAAATACCACATATAGATCAATGGATTAAATAGACTCCACATATTATTTTCAACAAGGATAACAAGGCAATTTAAGGAAGGGAAGAGTAGTCTTTTCAACAAAGACTGGAGCTGGAGATCCACATGGAGAAGAATGAATTGAGTTCCCTGCCTCTCACCATATGCAAAAATCAATTCAAAATGGATCAAACACCTTAGTGTAAGACTTAAAACAGTAGAACATTTAGAAGGAAATGTAGGCATAAATCTTCTGGACTCTATAGTCAGCAATTTTTTCTTAACTGTAACATTAGAATCACAAGCAACAACATCAAAAAAGGAAACTGGACATAAAATGTAAAACAGGCCGGGCGCGGTGGCTCATGCCTATAATCCCAGCACTTTGGGAGGCGAGGCAGGTGGATCACGAGGTCAAGAGATCAAGATCATCCTGGTCAACAAGGTGAAACCCCATCTCTCCTAAAAATACAAAAATTAGCTGGGCATGGTGGTGCACGCCTGTAGTCCCAGCTACTCGGGAGGCTGAGGCAGGAGAATTGCCTGAACCCAGGAGGCGGAGGTTGCGATGAGCCGAGATCACACCACTGAAATCCAATGTGGTCGACAGAGCAAGTCTCCATCTTGAAGGAAGGAAGGAGGGAAGGAGGGAAGGAGGGAGGGAGGGAGGGAAGGAAGGAAGGAAGGAAGGGAGGGAGGGAGGGAGGGAGGGAGGGGGAGGGAGAAAGGGAGGGAGAGAGGGGAAGGAGGGAGGGAGGGAAGGAAGGAAGGAAGGAAGGGAGGGGGGAGGGAGAAAGGGAGGGAGAGAGGGGAAGGAGGGAGGGAGGGAGGGAAGGAAGGAAGGAGGGAAGGAAGGAGAAAAGAAATGCTAAAGAAAATTCTTGAGAAAGGATAGATCATATTATATCTACACAAGAAATGAAGAGTCAGAATTAAAGTAAATGGAAGTAAAATAATTTTTTCCTACAGTTTCTCTGAAAATAGTAATATTATTTTAAAAAATTTTTTGAGATAGAGTCTTGCTCTGTAGCCAGGCTGGAGTGCAGTGATGCAATCTCAACTCACTGGAACCTCCACTTCCCACGTTCAATTCTCCTGCCCCAGTCTCCTAAGTATCTGGATTACAGGCGCGTGCCACCATGTCCTGCTAATTTTGTATTTTTAGTAGACACAGGCCTGGGCAACAAAGCAAGACTCATCTCTACAAAAAGTAAAAAAACAATTAGCTAGGCATGGTGGCACGCACCTTTAGTCCCAGCTGCTCGGGAGGCTGAGGCAGGAGGATTGCTTGGGCCCAGGAGTTCGAGGCTGCAGTGAGGGCACCGGTGCACTTTAGCCTGGGCTACAAAGCAAAACACTACCTCAAAAAAAAAATTAAGTTTTGCTGACTTCTAAGACATAGTAAGAGGGTATGACGTACCCTCTCATCTCAATAATTTAAAGAAAATATTTAGAATGACAATTTTCAGACACTGAACAACAAGCAGACCATGATCCCCAATCGCAGAAACCACCAAGGTAAGTGCTATTATTTCTCCCAACTTAACATTTGGAATATTTTAAATCCATTATTCAGGGAGAGTTAACAGAAGCAGAGCCCAGTGTTCTTACTGCATTGAGACACAAACTTGGGGGTTTGTGGAAGCCGGGGTACGTGGAACAAAGCACTAGACAGGAACAACCTCCATGAAAAGATTGCTGGAGAGCTGCCAGGGAGTTCCCTTGACTCTTCAGCTGAAAGTACTGGTCAGTTAGCTCCTGTGTGAAAACACCCGAAGCTGTGGAAAAACCCACTTGAAATGAATAGAGGGAATGATTCTCATAGCTCGTGCAAGTCCAGGAATAGCAGGTGTTACCAATAGCCAAAATAGAAAAACCTCATAATGCACAAGACCTCGGGTACTCAGAAGGGTATTGTCTTAACAAAGAGGAAAAATTAGCTTTGGACTAATTAGCCTTGCTCTGGTCCTGTCTATCCAAGCTGAAAAAAACCCATGAAAAGGAGCAAACTGATCACATACTGGAGGACATGAACAAAGTTCACGTACTTTCAAAACAAAGTTCAAAAATACTGGAAAATATACCAGAAGATCTGGCAAGGTAACATTTCAATGTTTAGCATCCAATCAAGTTACAAAGATGCGGAACACCAGGAAAACATGATACACAATGAGGAGTGTTGAAAATATAAACCAATGCTTTAATAAGGTATTTTTTAAATTTGCTCAACATTTAAAAAATATTATTTTTGTATATTGTTTCCACTTTGAAATATTTAAGATGCTTTCAAGTATCTGATCAAAATAACTTTTTTTTCTTTTTTATAGACAGGGTCTCACTCTGTTGCCCAGGATGCAGTACAGTGGCACCATCACAGCTCACTGCGACCTCAAACTCCTGGGATCAAGCAATCCTCCTGCCTTGGCCTACAGGGTAGCTGGGACTGCAGGCATACACCAGTACACCTGGCTAATTTATTTTTTTTTTTTGTAGACACGGTGTCTCATTATGTTGCCAGTCTGTTCTTTAACTCCTGACCTTAAGCAATCCTCCTTCTTTGGCCTCCCAAAGGGCTGGAATTAAAGGCATGAGCCACCACACCCAGCCTATGATTTTTAATATATACCTAAAATTGCTCAATTAATTTTGCAAATAATTAAGTAGCTGACAATATTTAATTTGTTAAGTCCATAAGATTCTTTTTTATGTGAATAGAAGTATTCAGAATATTCCTATATAATAGAAAGTTTTGTAATAATGGAAACATTGTATACAGTAGTCTTCCTCCATCTGCAGGGGTTGTTTCAAGACCCCCTAGGGGATGCCTGAAACTAAGGATGGCACCAAATCCTCCGTATACTATTTTTTTACTATACATATGTACTTACGATAAAGTTTAATTTATAAATTAGACACAGCAAGAGATTAACAAGAAAACATTAGATAAAGGGGGGACTCTGTAAAGTCCCATACACATGGCTATTGAACACTTAATTGTGGCTAGTCCTACTAATGAACTCAATTTTATGTCTTATTAAATTTAAATTAATTTAAAATAGCCACATGTAGTTGGAGGCTAATGTATCTAACAGTGTAGATCTAGAGGAATGTTAATTGCTTAATATTTAATGCAATCAATGCTGATTATGTGACAAATTATAACTTTAACATGGGGAAATAAAACAATTAATAGATATTTACTCAGCCTCCATTAAAATTTTTCATATATTAAACAATCTATCAGGCCAGGTACAGTGGCTCATGCCTGTAATACCAGCACTTTGGGAGGCTGAGGTGGGTGGATCATGAGGTCAGGAGTTCAAGACCAGCCCAGCCAACAAGGTGAAACCCTGTCTTTACTAAAAATACAAAAATTAGCCAGGTGTGGTGGCACGTGCCTGTAGTCCCAACTATTTGGGAGGCTGAGGCAAGAGAACTGCTTGAACCCAGGAGGCAGAGGTTGCAGTGAGCCGAGACTTCACCACTGCACTCCAGCCTGGGCAATAGAGCAAGACTCTGTCTCAAAAGAAAAAAAAGAATCTATCATTCTCAAGAGGTCTGCTGGTAAGTATCCAAACATGTCTAAGCAGCAATGCATTTCATATTCTTGCCAAAGAGGTCTGAGCTCCAGCATTGTATTGCCAAGAACACATAATGCTTGATTTTCATTGAGGGGTTCATGTAGGGATGCTTCTTTTATGTGGGAGCCAGTGGTAATACCATGATGTGCGTGCTCAAAGGCATTGTGCCTGGGGCAGGTATTCAGCTCAGTTAATCTGATGCTTCCATATAAAGTAGAAATTCAAATAATAGAGTATCAGATGATTTTGGAAAAGTGGTTAACAATCCAACATCAAAACTGTAAAAAGGAAAACAAAATAAATAAAAAACAGGACCATATAGGTTTAAAGCCAAATGTTATCTAATCTTTAATAAACAAATAATGGCAATAACAAAAATTTTAAAATGTTATTAATTTTGAATGTTAATATATGAATGCTAATATTAATATCAATTTTGAATATTTATACAAAAATCCTGAAAAAAAATTCATAAGATAAATTGAGCAGCTTATCAAAACAATAATATATCACAACTGAGCATATTATATTTCAGAAATGGTTTTTAAACAAGAAATCAGTATGAATTATTAAAATAGAAAGGAGAATGATATATGAACAAAGCAAAAGATAAGATGGCATTTGAACAGAAAAAAGAAGTT